TCTCTCTCTCTCTCTCTCTCTCTCACACACACACACACACACGCGTGCGTGCACACACACACAAAACTTTGCATTTGAACAGTCAATAGTAAATACTTAAACTAATACCAAAACAGTAGCTGATTCAGAAGCGCCAGATTGTCATAGCAAAGTCAGAATTACCTCCTCTCCAAAGTTCACGAAACGGTCGTCCATAAAATGCATTGCTGTTCTGTTGTAAGTAATCTTAAAGATTCCTAAACTTTCGGAAGGCCAAATAAAGTGTTTTTAAAATGTATATATAAATTATATATACATAATTCATATTGTCATCATCACTGCATGATATAGAGTTAATAATATTAGAATGATTAATAAAGTGGATGACTATATTAGCTAATGTCTCTAAATAAAAGTACAAAATATTTTGTATTTCAACCCAAAAAAATGGTGGATATTTCTCAGATAAATGAGGGTCAATTTAAATGAAAGAAATTGATTTGACTGAGAAAAACAGCTTTTTTCCCCACTTCACATTTCTATGCATCAGTAAACTCACATTTTCCAGCTCTGAAAGTTAATTTGCATTAAACCCAATCTGCTCACACATAACCTGCCGTCACCAGACAGCCAGTCACCGCAAGGTGATTACAAACTTAAAGGCCAAAGTAAATGAGCCAAACTAATGAAGGCAGAGGAAAAGGTTTTAAGCAAAAGCCTCAATTTTCAAAAGTCTATAATTGGGTAGTTGACAAATAACATGTCCATGATTTCCCCTCGCAGAATCCAGATTTTAGGCTAAACGTGACATAGTTTAGATTAACATATTTTAGATGTAATTAATTTATTTACACTGTTGATTTAATTAATTTAGCTGTATAGTGCAACAGATGCATTGTTAAAAAGTACAAATATTCAATTGAATCTCTCAGCTAACATGAGGTCATAAAATTTCAGTTATATATGTAAATTGGTTTTAATTTTTTACATTTTTTTTAATTGGACTCGCTCAGCTCCAACCAAGACAACAAATGCCCTGTGTGACCTTACACATTTTATTGCAAACCTTTATGCATTGTTTACATGAAATATCAGTCTATCTATGACTAATATGGCCATTATCCGCACAAGAATAAGTAACACTACTTAACGAATACAGCTGGAAGTGT